TCTTTGAAGAAGTCCTTGAGCAACCCTATACCCGAATACACAGATCTACAAGCTTTGGCTTTGTTAATCAACACCAACCTATCGAACCTGGTACTACTTGCCAGCTAGTATTCATAAAATATTGATACATGGATCAGCCGTGATTGAACATTTCCTTGTTCTAATCGGTCAGCTTTCTGAGGAAGCACAGGAGGAAAGGAACAAGGATTGGAAGAGGTAAATGTATTTAACCAAAATAACAACGAATAAATTAATAAAACTTTTATTTAACAGATATCAAGAGTTCAATACCCGCAAGCAATCAAGATCGCTTACAAATCGTGATCTATTCAACTGGCTCCTAGTATTATCAGATCCATTGATTACTAGCATTCGTGGATGGCCTAAAAAGCACGAGAAGCCATTGTCGAGCGATGCTAAACAGCTGCTAGCAGATGAAGCTGAAGGAAACGATAATGATTATATTAATGGTTATGATTATGATAATAATGATGATAATTGAATACAATACATAATATTGACAACAAAAATGCAAAACCAATCGAACAAAAAGAATTTAATCAAGAAAAATATGTGGATATATTGAAGTTGATTATCTTTTTTATACTGGTTATACCATAAAACAGAGTAAAGATATAGATACTTGTTTTGATCACAACTCCCCAGCAGACGGTCGTGGACGGACAAATTTACCACCATTTGAAAGCTCTTTTAATTTAGTTTTAGATGCATTTAATTTCATCTGCACCTTCCTGCACCTAAGAAAGATACGCAAGGCCAAAATATGAGGACAATAGAAGAAAATTTATCAATAACTCATCCTATTAAAATGATGCAGGTATAGTATGTTCTAGAACGATGTGTATTTTAGTATACCAATCAACTTTGTTGAACATAATGAGGACCTAAAATTAAAGAAAATATGTGTTTTGATGAAAAACGTGTTTTTGGGGGTCCGTCCTCAAACAACGCTCTCTATCTCGATTTGAGTGAAATTTAGGACTTTTATGTTTTCAGCAAAGTTGTTTGTAATCATTTTTGCTACAATTTTGCTAAAGACGTCAACCATTTATCTCGACATTGTGAAAAAATAAATTTTTCATTTCACTTTTAGGGGGATTAATCACAAAATCCATGCCTTCAAAATATGAAGCATGTCATACTCATCAACTTTGTTGAAGACGTCATTACTCTAAATCCGCTCTCCATGGTGCTATTAATTAAGAGCGTCAAAATGGACTTTTCAACCACTGTGCGTCGTCGTGGTCCTTCCCGCTCTCCTGGTAGAGAACGAGCTGTGGGATAGAAACTAATTACCCAAGTAACCAAAAGTTCCACATTCAACGATTAAAATCACTTTCAAGTTCCGTAAAGTTCAAATAAAGTTCCGACCGAACCTTCAAGTTCCATAAAGTTCAAATAAAGTTCCGACAGAACTTTCAAGCTCCATAAAGCTCAAATAAAGTTCCAACCGAACCTTCAAGTTCCATAAAGTTCAAATAAAGTTCCGACAGAACTTTCAAGTTCCATAAAGTTCAAATAAAGTTCCGACAGAACTTTCAAGTTCCATAAAGTTCAAGCCACATGAAGCAATCCGCACAAGTCTTTATTAGTAACAAAATTTAATGTACGTAAATATTAAATGATCAGTGGCCCGAATAAATCATAATTCTTATACATACATACATATTCCTGGATTCAAATCCGTGTATTCGGCATGCGATCTACTAACGCTAACCACTGCGCCACAAATGGGTTGGAATACCATGCGGGCAAATACCAATTTAAAATTCATCAAGGTATTGTGTTTCGTATGCAAGTCAGTCAGCTGGCACTGAAAACTCCAACAGTAGGCGGGACAACAGCTCACTTTAATATATTTCAGATGACGCAGCGGTTCGTGCTGGGGCTCTCACGCAGAAGGACTGGGTTTAATTCTTCAAACAGCTCCAGCTAATGCTGATAATATCAATACACATTAATACCTGCCTTTAGAAATAACTTTCATAAAAGTGCGAACTAAACAATAGAATTGGTGTAGAGGAAAAAAACCTTTTTTAATTTATTTTCTAAAAGTTCCGTTCAAGTTCCGCCAGAAGCTGCTTAGAATGCTCTTCAATTATGATACCGGAACTTTCAAGTTCTTATAACGACTTAAAAATGAGGCTGCTTAGAATTCTAAAGACCATCACCAACTAAGCTGCTTAAGCCACAAATGGCCTTTTATCAGAACTTTTGGTTACTTGGGTAGCTAGCTTTAGACTCTAACGACCGATCGGTATCGACACGGAAACGGTAGCTTCGAGGCCGGGTCCAAAATCGAAATAAATTTGACAACGTCTTTCACCTGCGGAGTTATTGTTCGAGCGATACACAACTTCGACGAGACATTTTAGGAACGTGCTGCTTCCGACTGGCACTTTTATTTTATTGACTGTTAATTAGAACATCGTCGTCGTTTGTGCTTCAAGTCTAGTGAACTAAACAACCTTAAGGCCTTGGAAAAAGCTTGCCTTATGCTCCATGTCCGATTGAAGTGGGAACACTTCAGGAAGACTGGAGGAAATTTCCAGGGATGGGGTCACGAAACTAAAAATTGCTACATGCCAGCTAAATGCATGAATTGTGGTGATTCCTCTCACGCAAAGGACGACTGTCCTGTAAATGACGATACTAAGAAATTTAAATGTTCAAATTGTGGTGAAAACCACAAATCAATTTTTTTGGAAATGTTAGAATCGCAATGCGATCCTACAATCTCGTTCTACTCTCGCTGCCAACAATGTTCAGCGAGTAAATGGAGCTATCTATGCTGCTATTGTAGCGGGTAGAAATCAAAATACTAACGAACGTAATTCTAACGGAAATTTTGAAATTTTTGACGTAGGAAGCATTACTGCTCCTAAAATGGAATTTTACAGAAATCGTCAATTGAAATGATTACTGATATGCATTAATCAAACTCCATGTTTGATGCTATTCAAACTGGAGTAAAATTTTCGAATAATATTGTCATGACTTTGAAATTCAGTAATGGTTTTTAAATCATTAAATATTTTAAATTGGAATGCTCGATCTCCTAAAGATAATGAAGACGAGCTATTTAACTTTTTGAGAGTTCATAACGTGCATATTGCCGTTATAACTGAAACGTTCCTTTAACCTGACCACAAGAAATGATCGTCTTGATGGAACCTGTGGTGGCGTTGCCATGATTGTTCACAGACAAATCAAACATAAAATTCTTTCTTCATTTGAAACCAAAGTTTTTGAAACTTTGTGAGTTTCTGTTGAAACATAATTTGGACAACTTACGTTTATAGCTGCCTATTTGCCATTCTAATGCGTAGACCAGCAAAAGAATTTTCTCAAGGGTGACCTACAGAAACTTACCCGTCATAGGTCTAAACTCTTCATTATTGATGATTTTAATGCAAAACACCGCTCATGCAATAATGCTCAAAGTAATGGTAATATTCTGTTTGATGATTGTTCTACAGGTTATTACACTATATCCAAACAGCCCAACATGCTTTTCTTCAGCTATTGATTTGGTCTTAACTGATTCATGTCAACTTTGTAGCCAATGGGTTACCCATGCTGACTTCGGTTCTGATCAGCTTCCAGTAACTTTTGAATTATTCTAAGAAATAATTTCTAATCCCAACAGCTCTACTTTCCAATCCCATAGAGCTGATTGTGAGCAATATCGAACATTTATGGAATATAACTTCGATCCAAACATTCCTTTGTATGCCAAAGATGAAATTAATTATGCTCTTGAATCTCTGACTACTTCTATAGTTGAAGCAAGAGCTACCTCAGTACCCAAATGCGAGGTTAAATTCGATTCAATTATAATAGACGACGATATTCAGCTCTTGATCCGCCTTAAAAAATGTCCGTAAGAGGCAATATCAAAGAACACGCGATCCTGCCATGAAAGTTATCTGGCGGGATTTGCAAAAACAAATTGAAAAGCGATTCTCTGCCTTGAGGAACAAACCTTTGAAAATAATGTTTCGAAATTAGACCCGAGTTCCAAACCCTTTTGGAAACTCACAAATTTTTTGAAAAAAAAAACCTCGAAAGCTTATTCTAGCGCTTAAAGAAGGTGGAAAATTTTGATCAAAAATTTGGAAAAAGCTCAGAAACTTGCCAAGCATTTCGAGCATTCCCATCGAAAGCTCTCAATTAATAACTGTGGAATGCTATAAGCATTAAACTTGTAACGCTAAGAAGAAGAAGAAGAAGACATCGTTATAAATCACGACATATCAATAGTTTTGAAAATATAAATCAGGACAACATACAGTATCATGAAAATCAGGAGATGTCCTGCTAAATCAGGATGGATGGTATCCCTTACTTTAATATACGTGATCGATAATGCAGCTATGTTTTTAATACCAAAATTTTATCTAAAATAATGGCAAAGTGCTTATTTTGTGACGACAATGTTATAAAAAAATTGATTTTTTTTTTATTGAAAATTACTGAATAATTCCAAACATTTTTTGGAACGTTTTATCACAGACAAACAGACATAACACATTGAATATTTCTCAATGTAAAACATCGTCGCTAAAACATTACCGCCATCTGTTGAGTACACTGTGGTGCGTAGTACGCTGAACAGATGGCGGTAGTGTGTAAACGTCAAACGCAAGGGAATTGACTATGCACGCCACAGGTGGTGGTACTACCAACTATGATACTTTTGAATTGACCGTTAAATGCTTGTTCGATGAACAAATTGCGAGTGTTATGTCTGTTTGTCTGTGGTTTTATCTTTGAATCATTCTTGAAAGGCACGCAATGGAAGCTTTAAATAATTATTTGGACTTTCTGTCGAAGTCGATTTGGTTTGAGTCACGAAGCGATTGTGCTTTTCCAAGATTGGCCAAAATTATGGAAAACAAACTAGAAAAATTAAACCTCCAAAAATAAAACAGGATCAATGTTAAAAATATATTCATTATTTTATATGCTCAGTTCAAAAGTAGGAAATATTCAAGGTTTTTCTTTATAGTCTCTTAAAAGAAATCAGCTGCCTTCGGTCGCTTCGCCGTCGAAGGAATATCCAGCAGGTTATCGGTCAAAGTAACCGAAGCACCTGAAGATTCTTGTGTTTCACGGGTTCCGCTGACGCCACTCGAGCTTGCCACCACCGCCGGAGTTTTCCGTCTCACTATCCCTGCAGGTGACGGAGTTGGTCTTGATTTTCTTGAGTGTAATCTTGGAGTCTTCAACGCAGAACTAGACGGCGTTCGCAGTGGACTGGGAGTGTTGGTAAAACCCAGTTTAGTAGTTGCAAGTCTTCGAGCGGCAGGAGACATACTGGCTAGTCGGTCGAACGTGTTTCTAATCACTGGAGAGGCAATGTTCCTCCGGGCAGCTTCGATTGCTTTTGCTTTTTTCGAACGTGATTGCTCGGCAGCTTTTTCTGCCAGCTGGAGGGCAATTGTTTCGCGTTTCGAAGTTTCAGCTATCCGGAACGAAGGGCCAGCCGATGCCGGATGAAGAGGGGTGTCACCACCATCCAATCGGAATGGAGTTCCTTCGATTTCACCCCACGTAAACAGGGGACTATCGGTTACACCCGGGCAAGGGGACGGACTTTTGACAAAACTGAATCCTCGGACAGCGGGAGTGAGCGATGCTTCAACCAATTTACCATCGACACCAATCTTTTCGGGAAGGCACTTTGCTTGCGATTTGGCCGCTTCGGTAATGGCTTGTTTGCTTTCATGCTCGTTGAACGGATTCGTTTTCAACCGGGTGTTATTGTGTTCGATTTCCTGCTTCTTATTTGCCATTTCAATTTCCTCTGCACGAGTTAGCGCCACGCCATCCGGAATATACATGATGTAGTTTTTGTTCTTGTAAGTCCACATGTCTAGCTCCTTGGGTTTTTCATTTGTATCGAACTGGCTTTCAATGCTCGGAAGGGTTAAACTTTTGTCAAGACTTTCCCGAGTGCTTCCCTCGGCTTCATACAAGACGGAGAATTTTTGCCTCAGCTTTTTGTCAGCTGCTTCCATAATTTCTTGGAAACTATCGTTATCCTCGCTGGTGTACTTAAACAGGAACGTGTCCAATGAGTGTTTGCTGGCGATGGATTTACTACTTTTGGTGGAACTTGTACTTATGGTAGATCGCTCCGATGGAGGTTCGTCCGGTGCGAGCGAAGCACTTGGCAGAGGTGTTTCGAAAGTGGCAGGGCTGTCTAAAATTTAAACGTTTTTAAATGATGATTACGCTTGGAAGACGCTAATAATGTACTTACATTCTCGAATAAGAGGTGATTTTGAATTGTATTTCGAGAAAATCTGCCGCAGCTTTACTGTGTCGTTACTTGCCAATGCGTCTAGGTACTCGTTTTGTGCCTTCAGTTTTTGGAGATCCGGGAAGAAGTCTCTCTGGATAATTTTGGCCATTTCCTACAAAACTCGATCTTTAAATAACCAACAAAATATTGGCAATACAAGGTACAAACCTCCAGATAAGTCTCCTCGTTTAAAATGATTTTCTTTTCCTTTTTCGTTTTCGGTACCGCTGGCTTCTTGAATACTGCAAGTGATTTGTCCAGTTCCTTCATGGCCTGCAGGGCCTTTTCTCCGGGTTTAGACATGCTGAACTCTGCGTGATTTTGAAAACGTATGAGATTTCTTTTAAAACAAAAGACGCAATCCAAATTATTTACGTGTTGCAGCTTTTGACAGTTCTCATTTATACCTAGTACTGTTCCAATGTATTCTACATAAGGGTAGCGCAAAAAGGCTTATTGGTTTAGTGAAAAGTGGAGATGTTACTGCAATGAGGTATATACAGGTGTGGCACAAGAGGATTTGTTGGTATAGTATAGCAAATAAGAGGTACACGGCGAATGAGAACGACCCAAATTTGAGTTTAGTTCACACATAATCGCCAAAAGTGCAGGAACTCAACGAGTTTGACGTCACGGAACGTATACTTCACAAACACTATAACATATTTTGCACTACACGAATACAATTTTACGATCATTTTGCTCACCTGTATACAGCTCATTGATGTTACTGATGGGGGTTGAATTAGGATTGGGCGATCTTCAAAGAAAGATCGATCTTATATTTGGCTCTAGAATCGATCCACTGATTAAATCGTTACCGAAGAATCGATCTATAGTAGATCGATCTTTTGATTCTTATTTTAAAACGCTTGTTTACGGTCGTACCCATGAAATTCTTTCCTTTATAATATTCAATTGAATGTCGTCGTGACGGTAAGAAGCAATGAGCACAAGAGGGAGATAGCCCAAACCTTCAAATGTTGCTATATTCGTAAATATCGGAAACGCAAAAAGTGACGTCATTGTAGCGAGCGATGCTGATGTTGACGTTATTTTCGTTAAATTTACAACGCAGTCTGCACTTATAAAATTTCAAAGATTGTCTTTATGTGTCCCACACATGATTTTTTGCAATGTGATCAACAAATGATATCTAACGGCGCCGGTGGTGTAGTGGTAAGCGTGATTACCTCTCACCCCAGCAGGCCTGGGTTCAATCCCAGTCGGCGCCGCCGGGATGTTCTGAGGCATAACATCTCTGATCACGCCTTCCTTCGGATGGGAAGTAAAGCCGTTGGTCCCCGGTTCATGAGTTGATGGGTCGATAGGTAGGGTCCAGGTGTGGGAGCTACCTTCCTGGCACGTCGGTAGCATTGGTGCTCAGCACGGAAAACAAGATCAATGGAAAAAACAAACCAAAGGAAAAAAAAAAAAAATTATATCTATGTGTTGGACACATACTTAATATGTGTACACATAAAAGCCATGTGTAACCACACGAAACGAAAATCAATTATTTAATTCATGTGTTTCACTTATACATTTTTGCCAAAGCATCAGCCTTATACATTCCATAAGACAAACCACATAGGTCCTATTAGAATGCATAATAGGTATGTGTGACTACTTATACATTTCATTTGACACATGATCTTTATTAACTTTTTGCAAGGCGTCTGCTTATTAGTTGACTTATACAATTTATGAATAATCAGCAATGGAAATTTGCCAAAAGGTATAAGGAGATTTCTATCCGTGCACACATACTATTCATTTGACTCATACATTTCATGTGTGCTTCTGGGTGGATTCTGTTTATGTGTGATCACATGAAAATCATGTGGAATTTCACATGGAAATTTGTCAATAAAAATGTGTGCACTGAGGCAAATAGACTTAAGAACGACAAATATGAATTTCATAAGCGTGACATATGAAAGATTTTCGTCTAAAATAACGTAGCTCTTATACGAGAAAAGATGAGTGGTCAACACACGAACTCCGTAATCTCAACGTCCATGGTTCGGTTCGAGTCTGCTCCGATTTATTATTTTTTTGTCAACAATATTTTTCATAAGACGAATTAATGAAATTCATACTGTTTTCTTGTGGCTAAAATTCATAAGTGTTTCTTATGGAATTCTTAAGTTCCAAATTTGCGTGACATAAATAATGGACCATCCCTATGAGAAAATCCATAAGCAAACGTCAGACTGTGCGTGAAACATAGCGGAATTTGAACTATCCTTTCGCCACAGACAAACAGACAAAACACATTGAATATTTTTATCACTGTAAAACCACAAACGAAGTGACAGACGGAGCGGCTCGAAAACTTTGGTGACTAATCTGCTATTTCAATTTTTCAGTGTACCACATGGCAACACCATTACTATTGGATTGTACCACATGGCAACACTACTACTGGATTGAACTAGCATTTTCACCAAATGTACTAGAATGTTTTGGTTCTATCTCTTTCACTCTACTCAAAACTGAAATGCATAAAAAAATAACAAAATGATACGCACTCTTTGCACACTGTCAAAGAATCATTGTACACAAAATCAACTTTGTTCAAATCAAAACAAAAAAATAACCCATCTGGTGGATGATGGCACAAGCTTCCAAGAAAATTCTATTGGCAAATCAAAGTTGCCACTCGTGGTGAATAGAAGAACTATGAGAGTGATGATGGTTTCAAAATTTTACACGGTGAGGTATGCGAGTGCAATCTTAAAATGCTTTTATTTTGCAAATGGAGCATTTTATTTAAATCTGGTTGATGCTATGTTAGTAGAAAACTTAAGGACTACTCAATAGACAAATAATACAGAAAAAATAATTTCTTTTCAGATTTTTAGGTGTACACATAGATTTGAGCTTTTCTACCACTGTAGCAGCAACCAGATTTAAATAAAATGTTCCATTTGCAAAATAAAAGCATTTTAAGATTGCATTCGTATACTTCCCCGTGGAAAATTTTGAAACCATCATCACTGTTATAGTTCTTCTATTCTCCACGAGTGCCAACTTTGATTTGCCAATTACAGTGAACCACATTATTTAAATGGATTTCTTCGCCAGTTAGTCGTCTGTCACTTCGTTTGTGGTAGTACGCTGAACAGATGGCGGTAGTGTGTAAACGTCAAACTCAAGGGAAATGACTATGCGCGCCACAGGTGGCGGTACTACCATAGAGGTAACTCTAAGACTAGTAGGTCCCGAAGAAAATCATTATTATTTTTGGCTCACTCAGTACCAGAACAACGGTCCCAAGCAGTCCCAAGCTATTTCACTCACCCCTGCATGTTCTGCATGAATCCACACACCCCTGATGTTATCTGTCAAACTTTCATAGCGAATCAAAACAAACATAGTGTAGTAATAGAATTTCAACTAGAATAGGGCACGTTAATCGTTTGCTTGGGACCAATAGGCTACTAAAGTGGTGAGCCAATTTAAAATCGTTAGTTTCGTATTGATTGTTGGTACTACCAACTACGATACTTTTAAATTGACCGTTAAATGCTTGTTCGATGAACAACTTGCGACTGTGATGTCTGTTTGTCTATGCTTTCACTTCACCGAAAATTCCCATAAGAAACTGTCTAAATTTGCTGGAAGAGCAAATTTTTCGACGGTGCCGTAAACGCCAATAAGTAAAATTTTGTGAGCTTTTCGAGGAAAAAACTTCTCACGGTGAATGAGAACGACCCAAATTTGAGTTTAGTTCACTCATAATCGCCAAAAGTGCAGAAACTCAGCGATGAGTAAATTTATCTCATGGTTTCCTGTGGAAAACCTTAAAAATCTGCCGGAAAATGAGGAAATTGACGAAAATTTTATTCAGTCTCGGAAAGTAAAGATTGGATTCACTCAGTCTATTGGTACTACAATAGACTGAGTGAATCCAATCTTTACTTTTCTCAAATTCGGGAATGTTTCCCTGGAAAATCCTGGAAAAACCTGGAAAAACATAAGATAAATTTACTCATCGCTGAGATCCTGCACTTTTGGCGTTTATGAGTAAACTAAACTCAAATTTGGGTCATTCTCATTCGCCGTGCTCGGAAAACTTAGATTGGGTTTCACTAGGTTTCACTCACTTTTCCGAATTAGAGTGTACGATACTCAAATATGAGTGAGTTTCATTAGCCGTGTATACTTTGGCGAATTTGAGTGAACGGAACTCAAATATGAGTTAGATTCATTTGCCGTGAGATACGGATTGATCATCTAGTACTAGCTGATAGGTGCTACACTACCGACATCGCATCGCGAGTAGCCTAACTACTGCTGGTGAATATGGTGCTCGTGGTGAATTCATCCTATGCAAAAATTTGAACCGGAGCACGTGGCTGTGGCTGCAGCTCTTGGTCCGTTTTTGTGTACCGTCGTACTTTGGACACTTTAAAAATTGTTGAATAATATGAAGTAGATTCGAGGGGGGCGACACATCTAAATCTCAAGTTTAGATGCTCAACAAATCTCACACTAGCGAATCAATCTTCGAAAAATCTTCTTTCATTTGTCGCATCTACTTGCATCGCGCATCATCTTCTTGCAGGAAATCTTCAGAATCGTCAAAAATCTACTTTCTATCTACTCAGTGTGCGCGCAGCTAGCCACAGCATAACACAATTTTTTCTGCATCGTAGATAGAGTCGTCCCCCTCGAGTAGATTATAGTTTCGATTGACTGGAACTGCAGTTTACTTGATCGCATATATTCCTTAGCTAATAACATTAAGGCTGTGTTGCATTTGATGAATTTAAATTTAATTTTGACACATCGAAAATAAATTAAAATTGTCAGAAAATTGCTTACAACAATCCTTGTTGTATGTAATAATTTAAAGCAAGTTTAGTTCGAAAGTTAGAAAGCGATAGCTCTACTCTGGTGAAATATGCATTTATGGTTGATTTATAATCAGATGGATCTCACCAAATTCTGCCTTCGAAAATGTACCGGATTGTTCAGTCGTGGTACCTAATGGAAAAAATCTTCGGCGTTGTTTTTACAACCGAACACAACATTTTGAATCACAAGCAAAATTTTTTTATTTGTACCGAATTTTTGCCTAATACCTCATTCGCTTGCATCCTCCGGAAGGCAGAACGCCAGGACCAAGAAAAAACAAAATACGCAGAATAGTTCACCAACGAGTTCTATAAAAAGAGTATCTTCCCAAAAATTAGAAGCAAAATCGTTGTTGTTGTTAAAATTATTAAAAACATTCACAAGCCCGCTTGGGAATCGACAGGCATTCAGATTACCGGATAGTGCAGGATATTTCATGCTAGAATTTTGTATATCAATGCT